CTACATACACCTATGTTCTTGGTTCAATTTTCTCATGCCCGTACGCGTACGTGTTTATCCCATCAATAGCTATCCAACGTTTAGTGTCCATAGGCGACAGGGACGTCTTGTTTATTGTCAGTCCGTATATCCTATGTCCATCACTTCTAAGTGTGTTCATTTTATGTCTAAAGGTACGGGTCTTAAACAGGGCTTCCTTGAATCTGGCGTGTTTGATGTGTTGTTTCACTACGTACTTCTTAACACCCTTAGCCTTCCGGATCTCACCATTGTCGGCCTTCAGTATGGAGTACATCTTAGGCCTCCAACCTATGTACTCGGCTATGGGCGTGCCAGCACACTCGTCCTTCATCTTACCTAGGACCTTTTTATTTACCGTGCTGTGTATGGCATGGTCCTTGGGGTAGTCGCTGGTGTCGTACAAATCGAGGCGTTTTTTCATGTCCTCGTACACGTCCTCGGTTCGAATCTCCATCAGCAGGGAATCCGTATCAGTGTACAGCACTTCACACCTGTCGTCATACTGTTTCTTAAGCTCGTTGTAGTAAAAGTCGTACATCAGGTGTTTGGATAAATCGAGGCTGCTCATCCCCACGTAAACAGGCCGGTTAAATTTTATGTGGCTTTTCTTCATGTAGGGAAACTAGGTCATCGGTGAATATTTTACTACGGTTGAATGCGGACTGGCTATCAGTCTCCTGAGCTTGTCTTCCTCATTCGACCGAACCAGCTTCACGGTCACGCAGCGTTTCCTAAGGTTCTCCATAGTCTTACCAAACACCGAGTTGTTCATGAGCTTGTAGAGATTTTCTCAAAGTCACTGGTGGCAAGCTTTCGGAGGCCTGTGTTCATTCTGATGTAAGGCTCCATCCATGGGCTCTGGTTGAACACGAGCACCCTGTGTATTTTGGTCAGCCTCATACCCAACGACATATACAGCTGTAGGTTGCGATAGTGAACGATGTACTTGGTCTTATTCATTAAGTTGGGCACGCGAGTTTTTCAACGTCTGCCACCCGCCCACCTAACAAGTTATGTTGGTACTCAGACATCCAGTCTGGGTTAACCCTCATACGTTCGGGGGCTAGGGGTAGCTGTTGTGTGATGATGTGTAATGCCTTGGGGTATTCCAAGTCAACCTCGAGGATATAACCTTTGTTCGAATCTGGTGCGATGCTCATAACATCGACCTTATGTGACGCCCATTCGAATCCCCCTGTGGGTAGATACTGGCTCATAGCCCAGCCGTACAAGTTGTTGGCATCGAGGTAGAGAATGTGATTGGTTGGCTTGCTCGGGTCGTAGCCCTTCAGCGTATTGATTATTTGCTTTCGCGTATCGTTTGGTTGCCATGGAAATCCGCCTCGCAAGCCTTTCTCAATGAATAAGTGTATGTCGTAATCGGTGAGCAATTCCAACTTAACTCTGGTCTTTTTCAACAAGGCATCCCACGACAGACCTGGGCTGGTGTAATACCATGCGGGGTCGAGATTATACTGCTTGAAACACGTCCGCCTAATCATCTCAAACACGACGGCTAACAGCAGTACATCTGTCCTCAAGTACAGGTCGTGATAGTCACCCAGATTCTCACAACCCAGTTTATTCCATACATTAATAGCATGCGAGTAATCGTCTTGGGATATTTACGAGTCAGTCAGATTGCTGTAAAATTCTCTGATGGGGGGTAGTCTGGTCTCGGCGAACTTGGCCCAACTATCCATGTACTCATAGGGGTACACACCCTTCCTCATAAGCAGGGGTCTAGTCTCGGCGTCTGTGTATCGATCGGTAATAGGGAAGGTATCATTGGCCTTGACCAGACTGTCTAGTGACGACCATAAGAATTGTACTGAATCTATGAACCGAAGACCGTTTAAGCTGAAGGAGATGTATCTCTCCATGTTGTTGGGGATACACGTTATATTGCCATCGATTTTCGCGATGGCCTGCATGATTAAGTGAGAGTCGTACCCTCTCAAGTTGTAAAAGACCACGGGGATGTTTATTGTCTTAGGGATGATTCTAAGCTTGAGGTTACACGCGCTGTGAGCGGCGCCTCTATACTTACCGGTTACGTGGCAGTGATCTCTCACCGAATCACCGTTAAGTGGTGAGTCACACACGTGGCAGTTAGTGCTACAGGCGTGAGCTAGCCTGTCGGCTTGGGTCATACGCATGGGAGCGACTCTATACAGTGCGTTCCTAATAATTTTTTCTTCCTCCTGCAAACACTTTAGAAACCTTTCAGCCGCGTCAGGGCCCCTATACACTACCGGAGCTTTCGTTTCCCCATCACAACGGACGACCACGTATCCAAACCCACAGGCCTCATGCTCCTGTGTTTTCTGTGTGGTTGGGGTGTCCCCAACAGCCCCGCCGGCGGCAGCCTCAACAGGTTTGACCAAGGCTTCAAAGTCGGCATATATGATATAAGGCACAGACATTTGGTTCTTGTTGTTACCGAATTTTAGGATATTGTCACCTCTCTTAGGCATGTCGATTCGTATGGCCGTCTGCCCCACACCTTGGCAATCCTCCCGGTGGGATTCTAATAAATCAGCTCGTGTGAAGCCATGTAGGCACCGTTTGCAGAAGTGGGTCTTTTCTCTGTGTGCCGATTGGTCATACAACAGCCTGCTAAAGTGTTTTATCAACGCGTAGTGGTACTTGTCACCTCGCTGGATCATGAATATATTGATAACGCGAGGGGGGTTTTGGGGTCCCCCCAGTTGGGGTTTCCCCAACGATGGGCTGACTCTGTGCACTATTGTTGTGTTACCTTCATGCCCAAAGACATTTATAGCTAGATTATTCTGTTTTTCTATTTTAGTTATCTGGGAGATGGGGGTGGGTTCATCTATACCATCCCAGTTGAGCCCATCGTCTTGGGGATAGCTAGAAAGCCTGTCTGAATGAGTGTCAGCTGGAAACAAGGTTGACCTGATAGCTACCCTCAGGCAATCGTCTCCTCTATTCTTGACGTTGACCATGGCATGTTTTTTCCTATAGTAGGGAGGCAAGTCTAGGTATGACCCGCCTCTGAATGGCACGTAGTTAGCTATGTCTAGATAGACATTATCGATTTTATCTACAGTCCACCCAGACCCCAAGTGTGTGTAGCGTTCTAGGTATTCTCGTATCTGCTGAAAACTGGTATCGATTGATGCGTCTATGGTCTCTATATGGGTCACGACCTCTTGTTTACCCCGGAAGTAAGGCTGAACGTACTCAGTGACCCCAGTGGGGGTTCCCCCCACGGCCCCTTCCTGCTTATCGAGCGACATTTTCACTGTGATTTGAAATTTGATACATCCTAGACTGTTTGGTTCCTGGTTTATTTTATCAGCTATCAGAGGCTTCATATCTGGGATATCTATATTCCTATCAACTTGCATGCGCCAGCCTCTCAAATAGTTACCTACAGCGCGCTCAGTGCGCACGAACTGTAGGTCAATAGCTCTATTCTGCCGTAATAGTTCTACAAGCTGTGGTTTCCTCATACGGGAATATCCCCCTAACCCCAAATCGCGTGCCTGAACTTTTAGTTGTTTTACAGTGGGAGGTTGCGCTACGGGGGCATGTGATAGCAATGCGATTAACCCGGCTCTCCCCAGGTTTGAATAACCCTTGAGCCCAAGCTGTTTTGCTTGAGCTTTTAATTGTTTTACCGTCGGAGGGGCTTCTAAACCTAGTAATCTCAACAAGGCTGACTTCCTCATTCAAGAATACCCAATTACACCCCTCTGCCTGGCGATCCGCTTAAGTTCACCAACAGTAGTCATAGTTGCGTACACACCTAAGAAGATCAATCTCTAATTGGACCGCCGTAAAGGTAAAAAATCTAGATACACCTTATTGATTATTCCCTCGACCCACCCGGAACATGCGCAGCATAGCAGGGTGTTTTGTTTTACTTGCAACGAGTCGTCAACAAGTATATCTATCTCCCCATGCACATCTACTCGCCCCCCATCAAAGTAATTCCAAGTGTGCCCAGCCCATGGCACATCAAACCCTACTTTTACCATGATTGTAAACGAGCACCCCTTATATAGTTCACTAACAATCATGGGTTTGAGGACACTGATATCTATACTTTTCCCCACATCCATCTGCCAGCTTCTCAGGCAACCTTCCCTGGGCTCAATTTCCACAAACATAGCTATACGTAGGTGTGTATAATCTCTAATTGGCACACTACACTGCTATCTTGAGAAGTCGCCTACGTTCTTTTATGTAGGCCTTTTTATTCTCGTAGATGAGATGATGTCTGACTACGTTCGCCCCGTGAGCTTTACATAAGCAGTAGTGCCCTTTAACCCTATACCACACACAGAACACGTGTAGTTAGGACTTCCCATGTGGAAACAACAGTACCCTGAGTCCTGCATCTCCTATCACAGGCTTCTTTCTTCCCCATAAGTATGTATTCGCATCGGTATGGAGCAGGTCTCATGTTTAGCATACTTATATGAGTATTTAGTGTAATTGTTTCGCAACCAACGCAGTCGCTGCAATACCCAGCGCTATGAATACCAGTTCACGGTCCATTTGCCCCTTGGATGGTGTGTAGTACTGAGCGAGTGTGGGTTTATTGAGCGGTTGCAACCGTTTACCAGTTAATAGGTAGTATTCTCTCGCTGCCTCGTCGACATTGTAGAATGTTTGAACGGCATGGTTTTCACGCCTGAGCTGTTCGTTAATGTAATCGATCCTCTGGAGGCGTTTTTTAGCGTACTCGGCCTGTGCTGCCTGTAATTTCTCAATAGCGAGGTCGTGCCGCTTTCTTTCTTCCTGTATTTCAGCCGCGTGTGACTCTCGTAGTTTCGAGAAGAAGAAATTACTCCCGAAAAATGCTAGGGCATTTACTAACGCCCCACCGACCATCATGGCAATCGTAGCCATCCTATATTTATTTCATAATATTTTCAGGTATTATCCCTTGTTTTACTAGGATGTCTTTTGTAGCCATCGCGATACCAAGGTTCATTATGAGCATACCCATATCCTGCAGGTTGAAATCTAGCTTGATAGTCGGTTGTTTAAGCACCATTTTGGTCAACCGAGCGTACCCTATGGCTAGACTGGCGACCACTGTGGCGTGGTATGCGTCGTTGACGAACGTTTTCCCCTCAGACATTATGTATATGATATAAAAATATTAAATTATAACATGATATGCGGGTTGACCTCTAATTGTGGGGGAGGGTTTCCCTCACTGGGATCCCTGTGTCGTGTATATAACCATGAGATAGCCAGGGCAGCAGTTGCGCATACAACCAACAAGAGTCGAGACGGGTGAGTCACCGTGATAATTTTATGTTGGTTACACCACCGTTTGTTACCGGCAGCTACTCTCTTAGGATTCTTCTGCCTGGTTACTGTAGGGGGTTGGGGTTTCTCTAACGTGGGGGTCTCCTCTAAAGGTGGGGTCTCCTCCTTGGGGGTTTCCCCCATCTCCTCCTGTGCAGCATCCATCTATACTATTATTATTATTTTTCCCCTCAAATTGGCAATACTTTGCCGTGATAATCGCCGCCGTAACCGGAGCTAGCAACATACCGTATTTGTGGTACAGCTCGCAGCTGATAGAGCTCAAGGCGTGTTCGATAAAAGGGTCTTTCTCGAGGTCTTCCCACAGGTAAAGTCGGCGCTCCGGGGGGATGGGAAGAAAGTATGACGCAATACCAGTGTATATCTGGGTCATAGCCGATCCTATTGTCTTTGTCATCTCTGCCCCGAGCCGGGACTCGTATCTAGCGTACACTTTATCGATTTCTTCGGCTGACATTTAGTGAATTTTATCGAGAGTGTAGTCTCCAAAGTAATGTTTGGCTTTGCCGCCAACAGCCAACGCCACCAGTTTCTCTCGCTTGTCATCACTCACCTGTGGTGAGTGTAAGCTCAACAGTTGCTCTAGCAATTCCTCACACTCCATCTTATAATGTGATAAGTAAGTTTTAGTTTTAACTATATAATATACGATATAGGCGAAACACAGAGAAATGAAGGTTAAGTTGCACACGACAAACACTTCAAATACCATAGCTATAACTAAATGCTAAGTATTTATACTAAGCATTGCTAAGCTTTACTTAGCTTTGCTAAGCTTTGCTAAGCTTTGCTAAGCATTTACTAAGCTTTGCTAAGCATTGCTAAGCTAAAACACCCTATAAGCCACGGGTTGGTCGGTCTTGAGCACGAGCTTAGCGTGTTTAGTTTCAGCGAGCTGTTTCTTCACACGTTCCCTATCATGTTTGCTCATCACATCGTTCTCTCTCAAACACTCCTCGAACGAATCCCTGTCCTTGCAGTGAAATAAGGCCACCCATCGCGTCTGCTCCCTGAGGTCTTTCAACACTGAGTTGAACTTCTGCGTTAGCACCCAGACGCTGTGATTTGCATGCCGGCCAGAGAAGGCCAGGTACGATAGCATGTCTCTCTTTTTTGTTATCTCGCGATTAGCGCTGCAGTCATCCAGTATGAACAGCGTAGACTCCCCTTTAAATTTCTCGTGTAGAGCTTTCAACCAGTCCTGCAGGCGTGTTCCCGGGTCGACTCTGTGTACGTCGGGTCCGTCATCACCCAAGGTCTTTCCGTGTACGTTTTACTCATCCTCAGAGTAGGGCACATGATAACGATGTTATCAAACACATCCCTGTAGTAACCCTCCAACATATCCAACACGAAAACGGTCTTCCCACAGCCAGTCTGCCCACACACTATGGCGCAGTGTGGGTCGCGGGGCAAATCAATACCGCCGGCAGGCAAATCAGTAGATGGCTTGCACGAATCTCCCATTGTCTATATTAAGTTGCACGTCCATAATCACGTACAGATATAATTTCAACTTGCCCGCGGGTAGAGCCTTCTTGTTATCCCCTCGCTGCCGTTGTCGATACGGCGACCACTACCGTGCAGTTTATCGTCATCCATGGATCGCATGTCCAACCACAGCGCGTACTTGGTGGTCAGGTACTCACCGATCTTCACGGAGGATAGCCCCAAGTCTTTGGTTATGTATGGGTGTTGTTTGATGGCCGGTAGCTTATTTATCTCATCCCACTGCTGGTATGCCCTCATACCATGACTGAACAGCTGGTTGGGCACGCCCTCTATGGTCACTTCCACCTTTTCAATCTCGGGGTTGAAAAACTTCTCGCTGTCCCTCCGGAATGGCCCGTAATCCTCCACTGGGACGACCAGGATACCTTTCATCGATCAGGCCGGCACGTTCAGGTTGATATTCCACACAGTGTCGCTCTTATCCAGCACGACAGATCTATGTCTCAGTATGCGATCGTACAGGATGGCCATCTTCCCAGAGTACTGGCTTCGAACCTGCCTGGCCAGCTCCGGGCTAGTGGCCATGTCGAACTCCAGAGAGATGTTGTCTATGGCGTAACTGGCCTCATCACCGTTCGGCGTACGCACTACTTTGCTGTAGTCATTAAGCGTGAGTCATTATTCAAGCCTATCACCCAGCGGCCTGGTAAAGCGGCGTGCCCGTGAGCAACTTCGAAGTCGGCGCACGCAGAACCTGTTCTCGATGGCCTTTTCGCCGTCCGTGATCTTGTCTAACTGGTCTTCCGTGAAGCCATACCCCACGCGCAACCGGGTCGATTTGCTGATACCTTGGTACACGTCATTGACGCGTTCTCCCTCAGTTTTCCATAGGTCCCCGTAGCAGTGAAACACGTCGCTGTCGTCGATGCTCAGCACCTCGTTACCGCTGATCTTGATGGTGGTTTTCTTGATGATGGCCCGACCTACGTTCCGCACTAGCTCGCCTTTGTCGTTGGTGGAGGCCAACGTGAGGTTGAACGCCAGTCGAACCGTGCCTGGTACAATGAGGTCATTCTCGCCAAGGTTTGGGAATCTAACCAGCAGCGTTTGGTTTTGGTCTATCTTGCTGGGATTGTTGGTGATGGTCACCGACTGGCGCACGGCTCTGACGCCTAGAGGCTCTTTTGATCTTCGGAAGGGATCTAGTTTTCTACCGTACATTGTTATATAAATGAAATATATAAGTTTTAATACTAAATAATGGCTGAAGGCGGTCATGAGGACATACCTATGGATTATATATGGGATGATAGTGCCCAGGCATTCGAGGATGATGACACCACATTCGAGATCTCGCAAGGCAACGAACTTGTGAAGCAGGCCGTCAACGGGTTTTATGATGGTTTAAAAGGGGATAAAAATTACGTAGAGCCGTGGGGGCGAGACTATACCAAGTTTTTTGTTGATGGCAATGGCATGCTGCGACTGAGGGGTCGCCCGGAGATCGATCTCATGAATAAGCGCACGAGAGAACCACTTGCCTTATCAACACTTGGCAGTCGCCATGGGGGTGACTTTATCCGAGATGAACTAGGCTTCATAGATTACGGGGTCGCACGGCCTAAAGCCCTTCCCAAGGAGGCCATTCAGGATCTGCCAGACGTCAGGGGCGCCACATCGGATCAAGATATGACTGATAACATTGAAAAGCTGTTGGCCACCTACCATGACAAACCCTTACCCCGGGTTCGAATTTACCGTTCGGGAACTACGGGGGCTGGACAAGGCCATGCAAACCATTTGCGGGCATCTCGTGAACAACACGGCCAAACTGGATGCGATAGACGACCACATAGCCCATGAAAAGGCCAAACTCAGTGAAACTGAGGACGAGTCTCTGAAAGCCACCATCGAGGAACGAATACGTAATTTGGAAGAGGAAAGGAAGACCCGGCTGGAAACGGCATCCTCCTTCCGAGACCAGTTTCGATCCCAGGTCAGCCGTGCGCGGGAAACCGTTGATCGAGTCCTCTACCAGGACACCATGCTAGCTGACAGGATTCGGATACTGTTCCGGGAGCAAGGGATCACCATCGCCAGCATTCTGACTGCATTGGGCTTCATCATATCAACCCTGGTGGTGTCATTGAGTGGGGGTACCCCCAAACCCCCAAGTGGCGGCACACCACCAAGTGGTGGGGGTGTCAAAGCCTGGATAAAAAAAATCGGGGGAAGCCCTGGCTAAACTGGCTGGTAAGGCCGCCAAAGCCCTGCCCGGCATCCTGGGTAGCATCGTTTCGTGGCTGCTGAGCACTCTGGCTAAAACTGCCACGTGGCTTAGTCAAAACCTGTGGGCAGCCATTGTCGCCGTGGCGGGTTTGGTATACGTAGCGGCTAAGGAATTTTTAACCAAATAAGCCCCAAAGCTACCCCAGCAACCACCATAGCTGTTTTACGGTCGATATGCTGCTGATTGGATGCTGCAGGCTGGGGCTGTGGGTGTGTTGGTTGCACCCTAGGCTCCGGGGGTGGCGCCACTATACCCGTTTCACCGGTCGTGGGTGGTGGGACGTGGGGGACGTTGACATCGAGGTTGACGCCCAACTTTTGGTCCGCCGTGGCTATGACTATTTTGTTGTTGTAGCCCACCACTTTTTTTACTCTCAGTTGCATATCGCTCGGAGCCATGTACAGTCCCACGTCGAAGACGTAGTCGACTTTCGGCCTGGTGTATTCCAACACGTCTTGGTAGCATTTGATGGCACTCGGGAGATCAACTGGAGCATTGATAGCATCCTCAACGTTAACAACGAACTGTTTCTGAGCGTCGTAAGCAGTCCCCTTACCGAGGATGTTGGAACGCGTTTGCGTCTGCACACCCAACAGCGCCCACACGTACGTTCGAATCGAGTCGTTTAACCTGATTACCCCGGCACAAGTGAATCCTTTCGACGTGTCCAGCATGAACTTTTTCCAGTCATCCGCTGCCCCCTGCTCAAACCTCCAGACTCGGTAATCCTTGCTGTCGTTGAAAGCCATGTAACGGTCATCCCACTCGTTGGTTGTGAGGTGATGATACGACTTGTATCCCCATTCTTTCAACTTCTCGCTGGCATCCACGAGGTGCATGTTGTGAACGATGGGGATACCCAACCCGTGGTTCTGTCCCGGCAAACGTCAATCCGTCTTCGTGTTTAGTTCGAATTCGTTGCAAATACGTTCGTAGGCCCGCCTATCGTACTTGTTGTTTACTGCGTTCCATGCGTTGTCCTGTGGGACCGGAGCGCTGATTTCTTTAAGGATACGCCTGACCTCGTAGTACACGTGGAACGTGAACACAGACTGACTCAGCAGTCCACGCTGAGTGTCGGTTAATGTCACACCACACCCCGTTGTAGCGCACCACACGGCGAAGTTGAGTTGATTCTGCCAGAACTGCATTGGGTTGTTGAACCAAGCATGAACTACCTTAGCGTTAGTCACCGAAAATTTATACAGGCTGAACACATCTAAAAGCTGGGCGTTGAAATACATCCCATCAGCGACCGCGATCTTCATCGGTGAGAAATCTACGTCCAGTTTAGGGTAAAACACTCCAGGGGAATACATTTTAAAACTATTATATAATGAGCATATATACTCTAACATGTACATAACACTTCCAGGAATAACGAGCGGCGAGGCCGTTCAGCTGACACTACGCGATCGATAATATCGGGTCAACTCGAAGTCGCGCACTCTGCGATATCACCTACCTACCGCAATGGACTAACATCAACGCCAGCAACAATAACATGTTCGTCAGTGGAGCTCGCAGCCAGATAACTGGACGGCTACTACAGCGTGTGCTTTCGCTAAAGCGAGGTCTTCAAACCCCTGGGAGCCGAACTCAAGATGAACGACTCAAACGGTACAGTGGTGTTAATCAACAACGGAAGAAACTCCTTGAGACTCGGTCGACCATTGGCGAGGACACTTTCGGTATGACACCTGACGAGATAAAACCAACAACAACCGTCACAGGTACGAAGTTACCCGACCTAGTACTGTACCGAGGCTGTACATTCATCTCGGCCAGGTGAGCACTGGCGTACAACATTCAAGGGGCCACCCTTCCACTATACTGAGAGCCGTACCGGTGAAAGCGGAGAAATACAACGACGGTAGAACCGAGTCGTTTTCACCGCGGCAGTATAAGAGGTTGACTCAGGGCAACATACCTGAGCTGATAATATCGGTGTTAGATATAAATCATAATCCCGTGAATATAGGATACCTTAGCTTAACGCTTCACATAAAATGACCAGCGCACAAGGGCCCGGGGTGAAAAAATGCGTCAATGTGGGGATCTCCGACCTCGGGGACACACGCGGATTCGACGCTCCCGGAGTAGATGGTAAATTGTATGCCTTACAACTGAAAAACAACATTTACAAACGCGTTGAAGTCCCCTCCGGTGGAGCCCTAGGAGATATAGTAGATACCACAAGAGCGACAGTTAACACTCGGTACACCCTAGTCACCACCGGGGATGATAAATGGATAATATACCCATCGTTCGGTGGCAAACTGTTCGACTTAGACGATGTTGAGAGCACTACCGTCGCCCGAAACAAGCCATATACGCTCGTCTTCACCGAAGATGACAAGTGGGTGTTGTTACCAGATACAGATGACTGGTTTCTCAATATTAGGCTCGTGTTCACGGATAACAAAGACAACCACCTAAACAAAGTCGTGAACAACGGAAGCCTGCTCGTGGCTTACGTCCCGACTCAGAGACGTAGCGTAGCCATCAGCCCAGTCACCAGTATGGCAGCCCACATGCTATCGAGTAAACCGGGAATACAAAACGTGACATTGCAGTTGGTGTCTGAATTTGAAGGCGAGGTCAGGATACTGGAGAGTCTACCGGCGAACTCAACACTTATCATCAAAGTCTACCTAGGGGAACCATCGGGGAATGAGGTCGAGATCGTGAAGGGGGTCAAACTCGGGTGGGTGAAACGACACCAGTATCACGTTTGGACAGTTTACGTGCGGGTGGGTGTCGGCTCCAACACCAGTCTGCAGGGTGTCACCGTGATCGTAGAAAACACGATATCACTAACCAAGATCTTCCTACCTGACAACATACACTTCATGGGGGTGAAGTTCACCCCTGAACTATTATCAGAAAGCCAGTTGGAAACTATATCGTAGTAGTATTATAGCAATGGCCAGTCATCGTCCCAACACTACGCTTAACGACCTAGGGGACACGGAGGCATTCAATCAGCCTGGTGAGGAAGACACCTTATACATCCTGCACTTGAAAGACAACGTGTATAGGCGGGTGTCGTTATTAGATTTTAAAGAGCCCAAAATGGTGATCAACGTGACCATCACCGCACCTTTTATCTCACTAGACAAATATGGCTATGTCTCTGAAATTAGGAACAACGGTACCTTGATCACGTCTTTCATTCCAACTGAAAGTATGATAGTTTCTAACTTCGAATATTTGCTTAGGGACACACTGTTAATTTCATCCAAGCAGTCCCAGTTAAAAGCCACCCACCATGATACCATAGCAGGGGTTAGGGCTATGGCCCCAGAATCCACACTCATCGTAGAAGTCGCTCACAATGGTAAGTTTGATGATTCGGACGGCGTTGACCCACCCCCAAACTTGCAACTTTTACCCGGTGTAACAATACGTTGGGGTGACTCCTACGCATCAGATTTTGTATATTGCCGTATCGTTATACGATTGGGGGACTCCCAACAGGGATTACTACCCCCCATAATAAACGGCTATGGTGTTGATATAGACCAGAAGTTACCTATTGACCCTTCCCGTATCTACACATACGAGAATCTAAGTTTTATAAGCCTCAGGTACGTTGACCGACTATTAACTGAAACCCAATTAAAATATCTTTTGTAATATATATTATAGGATGGGGCTATACCCAGTCGTAGAGGAAGTAGCGAAGACCCTGGAAACCCGTTGGCTTGAGCGGGTTATGTGATGTAAAAGCGCCAACTAGAACAAGACCGGCGACGCGCCGGAAAGCACTATGTAAGAAGTACCATAGAGCTTTCAATATCGTGGACGGGGCTGATACTGCCCTTATGACATCCAGCATGGGGCTGGGGGCGGCAGGTGTTCGGTTGTTAGCTACCATCGTGGCTACCCCCGTAGTGCTAGGCATTGAAATAACAGCTGGGGTGGCAGGGGTGTTAGGGTTGACGCTTAAGTTTGCATCACGCAGACTGCATCGTAAGGCATTGAAACACGACGAGATCAGGGTTCTGGCCGAAGCAAAGCTGAACACGGTAAGTGAGCATATATCCACGGCACTCACTGACAGTAAGATCTCCGAGGAGGAGTTTCGTTCAATCCTCTCTGAACTCACAAAATATAACAAAATGAAACAAGAGATTCGATCCAAGTCTCGTAAGTCTGCTATCAGCGAGGACAAGAAAAAAAAGTACATAGAACAAGGGGTGAAAAAAGCCCAGCAAGCCTTTATTACAAACACCAAAGAGATCATAGGCGATTCACATTAAACTGTTTCATTGAGGTAAACGTGGCATAGTGTCCCAGGATAGACCCGTTAAACCAACATACTTCAGCCAAGTCCCCGGTAGCTCAGTCGGTTAAGCAGCGCGGTTGTGGGGTATACATGTGGAGTTCGTATCCCGCTGGCGTCTCAAACTACTTTATAGTAGGGGTAATGGTAGCAAGAGCTAAGGGTCCGACCAAAGCCTTATTTGTGAAATAAGGCTTTGCAGAGGCTTTTGTTGGACTTGGTCCAAAACCCCCATTCCCTATACTACTTAACGTCATAGGTCTAGCGGTATTACATTAGTGTAATATTGACGTAAAAATATTACACTACGGTATCTTCCACGAGAGAGTAACAACATGTTCTTTTAGTCGCCGGTACATCGTTTGTCGACTGATACGGTGTCTATTGCCGTCGCTGCCCTTGACGTCGCCATAACGATTTCTCAGATGAATTGTCTGGATGTGGCGATCATCACCGGGCGTTGTCACACGTGGTCGACCACGCCTAGGCCTGTCTGACGTATTGCCAGTCTGTCTTATGACTCTCCTTGCTGGCTCTCTCTCTTTTATGCCGCTTTTTGCTTTTGCTACATTTCAGGATTGTCAAGGCGGGGCACACCAGAAATTTGTCATTTGTTTGATATTAATTGACTCGAAAATATTAAGATCATAGTTATTTCTTTCAGACAATACCATAGTGATAGTTGTGAGTGTCGTCTTTGGCGTGATGGTTATCGCTGGGACTGTGATTGGTGTGGTCATATACAAAAAGAGAAGGAGCAGGAAGACTGCCGAAGGTTCAGTGCAAAACAATGTTTCATCATTTCTTTTCTCAGAGTATACAATACATTCCACACATGAAGTAAAATCATAATGGTTTAAAGATACACTTTCAGCACATTTTGAGCAGTTTCAAGGAGAATGCTTACACTTTACTGAGAGTATTCATCAGGTCATGTGTGTGATAACGAAAGGTTTTATGATAATGGGGGTGTATGGCCGTGTGTAAAGAGCTCAAGTCCCAAATCAGTTAAGCAACGTTGGTCCCGGAGACTCCTTGGATGGATGACTGTGTTTGGCAGATGGACTTCTGAGACTTTCTAGGGTTTCTGTCCTGTCCCACAACGAAGCACACGTACACACGTCTCTCTCCCTGGTCTTGTCGATGTGTTCATATATTGCCTCTGTTCAACCAGCAGAGAATGGACACCCTATGGGACAAGTCATATGTCTGTTAGCATTAACCGGGTAATAATGTGTTAACGCCTCGGGCATGCACTCCAGTCCTGACCCACAACAAAACACATGTGCCACATTTGGTCTCACCTTAGGCATGCGAGTTTGTTCCAAATTACATCTGTTAACGCAGCAGTTACTGCGTACCCAGCTGGATAAGTCATGGCTCCTCACAGGGCTATCCGAAGAAATAATGTCCATTACGTTTTATGTGCTTAGAGCATGCCCGTGCTCTGTGGAATTAAGCACCATACATGTGGCCCTATTATGATAAGCTGATCTTGCTATGAAATGTACTTCATTCGAAATAAATAACTAATACATATTATACAGCTTTTGCTCAGTAGTTATTTATCAAATACAGTACTAGTGTGTCGATATAAACCGTTATTTCGCAGAAGTGCTTTATGAAAGGCCCTATACAACATTGCAACGTGGAGCGAGTGTCCCACATGAATATGGAATCATCAGGAACGACACCACACAGGGGACGTGTACGTCTCAGTCAACAGGTACGTATTTTCTGCAGCATTTCCTATAGCATTTCCAAAAATTAGTGACAAAATTGTTTACAAAAATATGTGATACATGTGTATAAACTATAGAAGGTCTACTGAAATGAATGTGTTGAGATATGATTCTCTTACAGTGTAAGTGTCTTTTCAGTACTTTGTGAGACCTCCTTGCCATGCAATATGTGCCTAGGTACTCTACCGATAAAAGTTTGTCGGAAATCGTGTGACATCCCAATATTCGACCCCTTCTTTCTTTCATATCCTTAATAATATTTCTAAGTCCTTTTTGGTTTATTCTGTCCTTCGTCATTCCCGACATCTCAATAAGGTTAAGATCTTGGCTGTAGCTGGGCCAATCTTAAACTCGAAAATCTTCGTCAGACAACCACTGTTTCGTGTAGCCTGCAGTGTGTTTTGGGCCGTTATCATGCTGGCAAATCCAATTATATTCATTTAGTCTTCGGGCTGTTGGAAGGAGGTGACCATTTAAGGTGTCAACATATCGTTCCTTCGTCAAATTTCCTTCACGTGATGATATCCCACCACAGATGTGAAATTTCGGGCTAAATTTTCGGCGGTGGTAGATTGGTTTCACAGTATCTTTTGTTTAAATTTTCACACAGTTCGGAAAAAGCCAGGCAGAACTTTCATCAGAAAGGAAAACGATGAGGGGATTCTGCGCTTTTTCACACAGTTAAGTCTTTGTAATTCTTGTCTAAGGGTTTCATTACATGCCTCTATTGATGATACCATTTCTGATATACTCAACGGTTTTTTTCAATTCCCCCACTCCCAATCTGACCAAATCGCCGGCGACCCGTACAACTGAACTTCCTTGGCCTCGCTGCCCCTGTCTTGTGCTCAATCCCAACTCCTGACTCAATATTCTTTAAAGTTCTGTATGCTGTAGACAGAGGACTTTTATGTCTACCAGCTAACTCGTTTGCATTACACCCCTTTCAAAATCATCTGGAACCAGCCTTCCTTTCTCTTCTGTTGTCAAATCTGCCTTGTGAACAAAGGAAGCCGCCTGCTACACCAAGGGAGATAACTCTTGATGTGGTAATGTTCATTCTTAAGCCTACTAGAGTTGCCTCCCATATTCAGTACCTTACTTCATAATGTAACACCTATTTTATAATTACAATTCTCTTATCAGAATTAAGACACAATATTTTCTCCAAAATGTCTGGGAAAACTGTAATTACACTGTCAAAGTGTGTTTGTTTGTTTGTTTGTCCGGACCAGACAATGCAGTGATCAACATCATGAACATCGATCTGAGATCTGGAACAATTCGGATACAATGACATGTGTCAACAAAGTCAGCGAGACTGATCACCCGATCCAATTGGTCGTCTCTTATTAAGACATGCATGGGTTGCTAAAGACCAATTCTAACAAGGAATAAATGAATCCAAAAAGAAACCCAGTGAATATAATGTAAAAGTGAGTGAGTGAGTGCGTGAGTGAGTGAGTGAGTGAGTGAGTGAGTGAGTGAGTGAGTGAGTGAGTTTAATACAATGTTAAAGAGTGTGAACACATCTACACAACTTTACAAACGACGTAAGAAACTTTCAGTATCCATTTTCACTGGACTTAGAAATAAAACAGACAAACAGAAATCCTTTAAAATGAATCAAATATGAAACCCAGCGAATATGATGTTAAACACATGTACACAACTTTGCAAGCGACCTGAGAAAATGTTAGTGTCCATATTCACTTGAGCGCCTTGTAAATACAGCTGATATTCTCTGACATTTGCGGAGACACATTTATTTTAATATGAGAGACAATATTCTCCCCATAACTATATGGAATCTCTATAATACGTGTCTGTTTCACAGTCTCGGCTATACCATGAGCATGGGTTTATGAATCACTTCAAATTGTGATGAAAGCAGGTGAGTGTATCCTGCCCCACCACTGGTACCCTTAACACACAGCCAGCCAAGAGTCTGCAAGAAAAGAAAACACGTGAGAACTATTGTACAAAATAAAATTTGGAATGGCATTGAATATTTATTTTGTTACTGATGCGTCAAATTTGAAATGTCTTCCATCAAATGTCAACAAATGTCCAAAGTAGATGCATGCCTGTTAAGTAAAGTTTTTTCATGACAATGAATCTCATCCTTTGATAATTTGTGAAGTCCTCATTAGGGAAAAGAATTTCTACCTTGACCTAACAATTACATGAATGAGTTGATATAAAACCCTGCCGAGATACGGACTTGGGAAATCTATGTTTATTTTGTCTGCAAAGCATGTTTTCACACGATTTATACAAGTTTTAAACTACATTTGAACATGGTATAAATAAAGCATCAGAAATATCAGTGATTGGACATCGCTCACAAAATGGTCAAGTAGCTAATGCGCTTCAAGTCATTTACCCATTAACAAGACCTGTGAAACCGCCTCATTTGGTTTCAATATACACTTTAAGCTTCAGAGGGACTCAATAATATCCTGAAGCCCGTTTAACAAGAGGCAGGACTTTATGTATCGATCTGTATTCCTACTGATCCAGCCTTGATCTCCAAATGTCACAACTTCTGACTTACAGTCGAGATCGAAGATGAACTCCGTTTACAACGATTGAAAATGGCGTCATACATCGTATGAATGCGCAAAGGTTATTCATCAAGTTTACACCATTCCATGTATTAATGGAAAGGCACAGTACAAAAAAAATATTTCATCATTTCTTTTCTCAGGTCTAGGGTATACAATACATTCCGCACATCAAGATGGTTCATGGTTCTTTCACCATATTTTGAGCATTTTTGGGCATGCGTTTCAGTCCACAACGAAGCGCATGTGCCACATTTGGTCTCTCCTTAGGCATGCGAGTTTGTTCCAAATTACATGTGTTAACGCAGCCGTTATTGTGTACCCAGCTGGATAAGTCATATATATGGCGCCTCACAGGGTTATCCGAAGTAATAATGTCCATTAAGTTTTATGCGCTTAGAGCATGCCCGTGCTCTGTGGAATTCAGGACCATACATGTGGACCTATTATGATAAGTCAATCTACTTCATCAGAAATAAATAATTAATACATATTATGCAGCTTTTGTACAGTATTTATTTATCAAATACAGTACTAGTGTGTCAATATGAACCGTTATTTTGCAGAAGTGCTTGATGAAAGGCCCTATACAACACTGCAACATGGAGCGAGTGTCCTACGTGAATATGGAGTCATAAGGAACGACACCACACAGGGGACGTGTACGTCTCAGTCAAAAGGTACGTATTTCGTGTAAGTGCTTAGCACCCTATAGTGTTCTTAGGAATTATTGCGAAAGTTGTTTCGACAAATATCTAATACATGTGTATAAAGAAGCTTTACTGAAATGAATATGTTGAGATATGATTCTCTAAGTGTCTTTTCGGTACTTTGTGAGACTTCCTTGCCCTGCAATACACGACTAAATGCGTCTAGGTACACTACCGATCAAAGTGGTCAAGTAGCTCATCCGCATCCACTCATTTATCCACGTGACAAAGAAAATTAAAGAGACCCGTGAAACCGCCTCATTTTGTTTCAATATACGCATTAAGCTTCAGAGCGACTCAGTAATATCCTGAAGAACGTTTAACAAGAGACATGACCTTAACCTTCAGGAGGTCTTTATGTATCCATCCGTATTCCTACCGATCCAGTCTTGATCTCCAAATGTCACAACCTTTGACTTTCAGTCGAGATCGAAGGTGAACTCCGTTTATGACGATTGAAAATTGAGTCATACATCATGAATGCACAAAGTATTTTCATCAAGTTTACACCATTCCATGCAGTTACAGAAATGTACATGGTCGACAAATTTGCAGGAAAATTTCAAATTTGCTGCCCGATGTACCTATTTGGTCCAGGTGATCATTTAACTTGCCTTGGTGTGTGTGTCATCAAGGAAGTGTTATACGCTATCTGTTTCTGAGCCAGACTTAATTATTTACAGCCCGTCGCCATATACCTGGAATATTGTTCAGTGCAGCTCTAAACAATAAACAAACACAATTTAAACATTAAAATTACATTGTGTCTCATTGTGTGGGTCAATTGACATTCGTTAATGTGGCTGCTGAAGACCAGAGCGTCCTTTCACAAAGCACTAAGGTGATCGTAAGTCACAAAGGTAACCTTAGTGCAATGTTAAACAATGGGAGTTAAGGTTAACCTTAGTAAAGGTTGCTTCGTGAAAGGAGTCCCAGTCTAACACCTGGTAAATATTTCATACGCAAGGATACAAAGTACGCTAAAGATACAAAGCACATCACATATATTCTAAGACGATTCCCTTTCTTTCAGATGGGCCAATCTATGAAGACTGTCTCACAAACTAAAACCATTGACAAATTCAAACTTAAACATGTCCTATCTATGTGCCTACTAACGAAAATGGCGAATACTCCTCTGCATGTACTCACTGTGATGTAAATACTCTCTGTATGTAATCACTGTGAGAGTGAAAACCTCCTGTACTGTACGTCATGTGATGTGAATATCTCCCTGTCTGTACGTCCTGTGATGTGAATATCCCTGTCTGTACGTCCTGTGATGTGAATATCCCTGTACTTGCCGTGATGTGAATACTCCCCTGTATGTACGTACTTTGATTTAAATATTCCCCTGTATGTACTGTACTGTGATGGGAATATTCCCCTGTATGTACTCACTGTGATGTGAATACCCCTGTTCGTATTCACTGCGATTTGAAATACCCATGTATGTACTCACTGTGACGTGAATGCTCCCCCCTCCCCCCCTTCGCCTTCCTGTATGTACTCATTGTTATGTGAATATCCTCTGTATGTATTCATAGGTTAAGAAACGAAAATATTGTAATCCATTTGTACCGTGTTTTCCTTGTTTGAAATAACAGAATCAATGTGTCAGCTATCTTTATAAATCCTATCCAATCATATACTATATACACCACAGCAAAAGTTATTCACTGCAGCAAGTTTTTCCTCCATTTTCAGTTGTGTAGGATTTGTAGTGAAGCCAGGATATTTTCGCCACACTTGCTGTCAGATGTATGTATATCTTTCTTAAAATTAAAACTTGTGTGAGGATCCGGGCTAGAATTGGCCTTCATCAATCCGTGCCTTGCCGTAAGAGGCGACTAACGGGAACGTGTGAAGACAGGTCAGTGTGTGTTCAGGCTCGTTGACTTGTTAGACACATGTCCCTCGTATCCTAATTGCGTATATTGATGTTCATACTGTTGATCACTGGATTGTCAGGTCAAGATTGGATATTTACAGACCGCCGCCATGTAGCTGGAATATTGCTGATTGCGGCGTTAAACAACAAACAAAGAAACATAAGTTTCATTTCAGTGTTTTCGCAGTATTTACAATTTTAACTAGATCTACTAAATACTCTTTACTCTTGAGTCTGTTTATCTTCCTAAGTGGAACAATAGATGTGGCTCCTAAAGATCCGGGTAAGAATTGACCTTCAGGAACCCATGCTTGTCGTAAAGGCGACTAACAGGATCGGGTTGTCAGGTTGCTGACTTGTTGACACATTGTCATCGGTTCCAAATTGCGTAGATCGATGTTCATGTTGCTGATCACTGGATTGTCTGGTCAAACAAAATAGTAGTAGACGAGCGAGTGACATTAAGCAACTATTTATGTGGTCATATCACAACGGTGAAATGTCCGGTACTGTGCTTAACAATACGTCGCTCGTCTTTCGATAGGCGTCGATCATCTTCCCCAGTATCTTCATCAACGTTTGGCGGCGGGCGCCTCAATCCTCAATTCGCCACTGACAGTGTGAACTTGAACGTAACGACCCGATTTGCCATCCCATGTAATTAACATTTTATTCCCGGCACTGATTCTGATTCCTCAACAAAATATATCCCGCCAAAGCTCTGAAGCCTGGAAGACGCTCCAGTTGAGTTTCCATGCTTCCACGTTTTGGCTGGCCCGATCCTGACTCGGATAACAGGCCGCCCTGACTGATGACAGAGGCCTAAAACAACATGCACTCGCCTCGCTGTTTCCACTCTCGGAACGTGGTAGACTCCTGCTATAAAGTTACTAAGCAGTGTCTGCTACTCAGTGGCATTGCAAACAAATGTACTCCGAGGCGGGGTTCAGATCCCGGATGGGACTCAGCCTCAGATACTAGAATCTGTACTTTACTGCAAAAGCGTAACCCAGACACGATGTAGCTGATGCATGCGAACTTGCTTTCTACAAAAGGCATTGTTGTGTGACCAGGACACACCGTTTGTCAAATTCTCCCTTATCAGGTGTAGGGGCGGTGATAAATGACAGCTAGGACTTTCCTATGAATCACTATCACATAGTGAAAACAGGAGTATATCCCTCCTCCGCGTACACTCACTTTTGGCAGCAACAGGGACACGGGTGGCCGAGTAGGCTAAGATGCTCAGTCGCTCACCTCCCTCCCTCCCCACCCACCCACGCACGCACGCGCACGCACGCTCACGCACTCACGCACTCAATTACTCCGCTTACACGCAGTTTTCACTCACCCACTCTTGGTCTAGCCTTTGATTCATTCCCTCATTCTCTACTACTCGTGAAATGTACACTGCACAATTATTTAGTTCAAAGGCGCCGTGTAACATGTCACGATGCAATTAGTAGCTGAAAACGAGCTTGATATGCAGCCTTACTCTAGAGAAAAATAACGTTAGAAACACCAAACAGGTCCACGAGGAAGTAATTCTACCACCCTGCTATATTTACAGTCACCGCTCGTACAGCCACAGATGCGACCCATATCAGTGGTGAACGAGGTGAGTGGAATGAGGATTTAGATTTACGCCGCACTCAGCAATATTCCATTTGTATGGCGGCGGTCTGTAAATAATCGATTCTGGACCAGACAATCCAGTGATCAACAGCATGAGACATCGATCCGCGCAATTGGGAACCGATGACATGTTTCCAACTAAGTCGTGAGCAGGATACGACCCTTTAATCCGTTAGTCGCCTCTTACGACAAGCATGGGTTACTGAAGATCAATATTTCTAGCCCGGAACTTTCCGTTAACAAACTATATCAATACAGGCCGACATGTGTGTTTGTACTTGACAAACATTTAAAACAATAACGATAGCCTGCTCCATCCGCTGCAACCGCAGCTGCTGCAGCTTACACAACTCAGCTACCACTACAACCGTATATGAAAAGCGATTATAATCCTGTTCCATCGTCTCTTCAAGTTTACTTTTTAATGGATACTGTGTCTCCCCTTCATTTGCATATCAACACCAACGTTATATTTTGTTTACAAAGATTACACTTAAGCCCTCAACAGGTATTAAATGTACTAGATATTGCACAAACTGGCTTTAACAATACATGAAAACAGGAAACTTTAATGTCTGTCTTATCCAGCGCCTTTTCCGAGGGTACAGGAGTTGAGCAAATCCATTTAGTTTCACGCAAATGTCACTTAGCAGAAAATATTTTGTGGTCTCATTCAATATAAGTCAGCCGTCATGTTAAAAGGACTGTACTAAATTTTAAACAAAACATGGTCTGCTGTAATGATTGGGAAGATGAACATTAATGGGAATTACATATTGTTTCTACAAAATCATCCAATCACAGCTTCTGGATGATACAATCTGCACCGAAGGCTACGAAAACTGCTTGCTAAACGACTGATTCTGATTTGGTGTAGGTATAACCTATCTTTGACACCCATTTCACCAATTGTGCCCCGCCGTGATATTACTAAAATGAAAATACAAGCGACATAAAACCACTCCACCTCTGCTCGCCCTCCACTCGCTCACTCACTCACTCACTCACTCCACTCACTCACTCAACCCACTCACTCACTCACTCCTCCTCTCACTCCACTCCGCTCCACTCACTTTCTGTACCTTCATCCCGTGTTTTCACGGTTGCGCGCAGATCAAACAGTCGCAGCCAGAAGTTGTGGACACCAGCATCCTACCATCTTTGTTTTCATCTGGATCACAACCGTGACATCTTCCACAGCATCTGGCACGTCACAGCTCCTCCTTCATCGAAGTGGACCCTGGCACAGTTGAAGAAATTACTGGTTGGGATTACAGTTCAGGGATTACAGTTCCCATTGCTGTCATCATCATCATCCTCATCATCGTTGTGATTTACAGAAACGCGGAGATCGCCAACACCAGAGAATACTCCGGCTAAATCATCACCTGAAGAAGCACATCAGATGGTTCCAACTTATAAAGGTGCCATAGGGTAGCTTAGTGGTCAAAGCCTTCACTCGTCACGCGCGCCTTATATGCCGGGTTCGATTCCTCACATAGATACAATATGGGAAGTCTTGTTCTGGTGTCCTCCCGTAATCCATATTACTGGAGTAATGCTACAAGTAAAAGCTCACCTACACTCTCACTCCCTTACCCGCTCCCTCACTCCTCTCACGATAGCTTTGTAGTGATGTGGCTATACGTCACTATGGTTACTTGCGTGTAAGATGGGACTCGCTGACTTGGTATCTTGAATTTCTTAATTCGTAGATAGATCTTCATAATATTGATCACTGGATAGTCTGGTCCAGATTCTATTTCTTATGGGCCAGATATACAACAGAAATATAACAGGAAGTATGTGGCATTAAACACCAAACACACAGGATGATGTATTACGATCTATTTACCGCCGTTGATAATATAAACATTCATTGTAACAAGTTGTTTCGTTTCCTTTCATTGTCTGCTTTGTTGGGATTCGTTGGTATTCCGTTGTATCATGTCACTGGATGCATTATGCAAGAAACTGACTCCATAACTTCCCAGTCTTGTGATGTTTTATGTGTCTACGTGTCTACCACTAACACAGACTTGATTATGCCGTAATATGGAAACGTATTATTCACTCAAAATATTACAATCTACGTACATGATACTTAGATCTTTCATCTCTGCAGATCATACCTCCATTTACAGAAATGTTACTTTCATCTCTGCAGATCATACTTATATACGGAAATGTTACTTTCATCTCTGCAGATCATACCTTTATGCACGGAGATGATACCTTAATGAATGGAGATGATATGTTTCACCGATTTACACACGGCTATATCATTCATTGAGATGCAAGGAGATCAAAGTATCATCTTCGTGGACGGTATCGCTAATAGGTATTCATACCGTTCTTACATGTATACAACATTGTACATTATACATTACTTCAACATAAACAAAACCAACTCATTACAAGACGAACAAAGACAGAAGGCTCTGCTCCGTACACAGCAATGTATTTATATACTGCCATGTGAACATATTTGAACCTTTTGTACACTATTCCCTCAAACTCACAATCAAATCCTAAGCACAGCACATATGTTTCCTGGTATATGACAGAGACTTCCGTGTCACGAGATATCAGTGGATGTGATATTTATAGATGAAAGTGGTGGAATTTACAAATGAATGATGTGCACGTGGTCACATGAACATGACACATAATCAGCTGCAGTCACGATGACCCTGCTACGATCACAAACTAAATAGCTATACTGACTCGACATAGCGATTAACAGGATGCAAGTTAAGAACACTCTCATGGTCTAATGATCATGAAGTACTCGAATAATTCATATTCGTTCGATAATCTCAATGATGTCATGCAAATCCAAATGTAATTCAACTCTCAAAATTCATGATTCAAAATCGATGGAATTTTTCAAAGAAATATAAGCCTTCCTTCAGTAGTGTTTGTTATAGCCATCTATCGTTTTACAAATCTATTAAAACCTTTTACGGTAAGGCATAACGCAAATACCGTAACTACTGGCAATAGTGCAAGAATGCTGTATTTACAGATATGACAGTCATGCACGAATACTTGCGAACACCTTGAAAACATCCGAAAATAATGGAATTAGTGCAAGAATGTTGTATTAAGATATATGACAGTCATGCACGAATACTTGCGAACACCTCGAAAACATACCGAAAATAATTACCTTAGTGCAAGAATACGGTTTTATACTGTAACATTTTGTACTGAGAGACGCTCATAAAATTGTAACATTGCACCGAGATAGATAAAACGTTACTATCAGACAGACGCAGACGCTGGTGCAAGGACTGCAAGTTCCATGTGCTTCAACATTTAAACAACTCGGTGCATTTAAACAACCACAACCACTCGCCCCCAGCCCTTCCCCTAAAGTGTGTGACAATAACCACAAGTCCCAAACATCTCTAGAAACCTTCAGCCTTGAAGTACAGCTTCTCATGTGGCTACCCCACCGCCCCTCATAGTGACCTGAAACCAGTATGCTACATAAAGAAAAATTATTTGATTAGGCATACATCACAAAGTGAATGAGTGAGTGAGTCAATATTTATCGTCACATCGGCAATATTTCAGCCATATCGTGACGAGAACATTTTATAATTATATTAAAGATCAATAAAGTTAGAAATTGAAAAACCTGTTGACTAAGAACAGTAAAACGAATAGTGAATCACAGATATCCATTTAAAACTAACAATTAAATCTAAAATATTGGAACTATAAGTGACAATACAATATAAAAACAGGCTGTAGATTGCTAACGAATGAAGGTAGATCACCATACTAGGGACCATGGGGACTTACAGTACATTGCTTCCTGCATGGACCCTAGCTGGATGTACACCATCCCTTCAGCTGTCAGCAAGTTTAGACAATTTAGCCATAAGTTAAAATAACACATATTCTACGCTTAAAAATAATGGGTATGTTTAAATTTACTTTGAATGTTTTGGGACCAATGTTAAAATATTTATCTATTACAATATATTTAACAAATCTAATCCTTTTAAAATGCAATAATTAAATGAGAACTGACATTACTAAAAGATCCTTCATAGTTTGTGATTTGAAATAGCTATCCGTGTGATGGAATATTCAACACAGTCAAAGCAGGACATGCTTGACTGTTATTCTTTCATCACAAAGGGATGCAAAACGGAGGATCTTCGCCTTTCAGTAAATATTCGTGAGTATATCTTGTGTGGCCAATGCGACATCGTCATATAATGACCTCTTCAAATCTGGATTGACAACCCAAGTAGAGTGTAACCGATATAAGGTTTTATTTCATGTAATTTATTTATAACAACTTGGGTGTTCCACTTCTTCTGCATCAGTTCATGGATGAAAGTTCTAATGCTAGCTTTGTAAACAGAGTATGGGATGAGAAGTGGTGTCACAGATTTGTTGAGTGCTGCCTTGGCAGCAGGATCGGCCATTGTGTTCCCAGAAATGCCAACGTGGCTGGGTAAACAACAAAGACGATGTCGCATTGGCCAGTAGCAAGTTCATTGTACAATTCAATAATTTCTAATAAAAGTGGATGTTTGCAAGAAGGATTTTTAATAGCCTGAAGACACGAAGAGAATCTGAAAAGATAATATATTGTTTATATTTACGATGTTTATGAATATATTTAAGAGCTGTAAGTATTGCGCTTGGCATGGTTTGGAGGTCATTATTACAAGATTGAACCATGAGCCACCGCCTTCTGGCATAGGACTCTAGATAAATGTATATAATTCAAGATATAATAGCAAGATCATTATATACTACGATTATTTCAGTTAAAAGTGGATGTTTTTCAAGATAGATTTTTAATAGCCTGAAGGCAAGAAAGAGAGTCAGAAAAGACTTTATATTGTTTATGTTTTAGGATGTATTTGAATATATTTAAGAGCTGTTAAGATGGCGCTTGCTTCTGATGTCAATATAGAGCTGTTATCCGGTATTCTAGAAGATACTGTTCTGGATCCAATGACAGTGGCACATGCCACTGCGCCACCGACCTTGGATCTATCAGTAAATAAGGGTTTGTATGTATTATATTTATTTTTTAATTGATTATATTCTTGTTTGTATTGTAATTCATTAGTTTCTGCTTTCTTGAACTTAGTCAGTGTCAGGTCAACTTGTGGTCTCACTAATTGCCAAGGAGGAGAAGAAAGAAGACGAAAAGAAGATATTTTCTCCAGCTCAATGCCGGCAGCAGAAATGAATGGTTTAATTCTGAGCCCAAGAGGCGGAACAAGAGAAGACGTTTTGTTATACAAATCCTCATAAAGAGGATTGGAGACACAGTTAAATGCAGGATTAGACTCGTTAGAGTATAGTTTAGTAATATTGTAAAGATAGTTTAATACGGCGTTGGGAAAGAGAAGGCTCATCTGCTTCGACATAGAGACTATTAGCTGGAGAAGTTCTAAATGATCCAAGACAGAGTCTTAGACCTTGGTGGTGAACAGAATCAAGTAGTTTAAGGTTGCTTTTGCAGGCTCCGCCATATACGATCGAGCCATAATAAAGTTTAGATCGCGGCAATGATCTGTATAAGTGAAGGAGGGTAGTTTGATCCCCTCCCACTTTGAATTGGCGACAACCTTTAACAAATCGAGTGCCTTCAGGCATTTAGTTTTAGGGATTTAATATGCGGAAGAAAGGTTAAATGGGAGTCGAAAATCCGACCCAAGAACTTGGCCTCTTTTACAACATTGATGGGAGTGCCATGTAAAACAGTTCTAGGTCTAAATGTGGTTTATATTTACGGCAGAAATCGTTGCAATTAGTTTTGATTTAGAAAAATTTAAAGCCGTTTTCAAGACACCATTTATTTATTCTGTTTAAACATAACTGTAGTTGCCGTTCAATAGTATGCAAAATTTCTAACCTTGTGGAATAATGATGAGCTTCCAATCATATAGTCCACAACAAGAGCCATTGTGAGTGATACATGTAAACTCACCAGATTTATCATTATGGAGCCGGCCGTTAAAGGTATGGATTCCAAATGTTCGACAAAGCTCAGACAATTTAATGCCATAATTATTGTGAAAATGAAAGTCTTTGCTTGTTCGGGGAGTATCAAACTCATCACTGGGATAGTCTGCTGAATCATAAATGCAATCTAAATTGTCATCAGGGATGTAGTCGAGAAAATCCTTCATCCTGGCATTGAAGTTTCCACACAGAAGTATATGGTCTACAGGATAATCACGTCGTATAGTTGATATGTAGTCTTCCAATACAGATATACCATCTTTATCATCATCATTATATATAGGAGAGTTTTCTGGTGATATATACTTGAAGATTAAAATAGTGTCTCGATCCCAATCTAACCGTGACGTATGTAGTAGAATCACTAATATACAGTCCTTAAAATGTTCATAAAGACGCTTACACTATCCATCTTCAACTAGGCATGACTTTATGAAGACAGTTACGCCACCGCTATACCGGCCAAGTCGTCTGACTTTCTGACGTACACTGTTGAAAACACTATAAGTATAGCCTGGCAAAAATCAGTGAACTCACTTGCTGATCGTACAAACGATTCACAGAATCCGATTACGTCGAACTTACTACAATTTACGTAGACCCTCTATATTCCATGAAAGCATGTCAACTCCATCACTTTGTTTGTAAACAAACGAGCCTCGGCCTTCACTTCAGCAGTTTGGAGTGGCCAACCTTGTTCTGCTGCTTCAGGATTCACTAGACGTAAACAAGGACCCACGTGGTTCGGCTGTCACTGCTGCACTGTAGCTTGTTTGTTGTTGTGCTTGCGATCCCGCTGGGGTAGATTGTCTTTTGAGATACAAACTATATCTTTCTTGTCGTGATCATATACATACGCAAGTCCATCGATGATTAATTTGTTCTGTCGCATTTTACTCGTTTGTTAGCATTACGAGCATCAACAAACGATGGAGAAACCATGTTTCCAAACATGATTCAGGAAAATGATTCAAGAGCTGATAGTGTATATTATCAGCCCCTGTTGCTGTATCATAAGCTTGCTGAAGGGCAGTATGTAGTTCATGCATTGAAAATAATTCATTGTAGTCTTCTCCATTGTCTGAGGCAAAATTTAGTCTTTTCTTCTCCTGTTGTTTCTGATGTTTCTGAAACCCAGTGACATAATTGGATGAAGACGAATGTTTGGCGAGAGTTTCAACAAGCTTATTGGCAGTGTCAGCCTTATCAGTTAACAAATTGTCACCGTCCTTTAAATGATGAACGGTAAATTTTGAACCTTTGCCCTTTATTCTTTGTATCATCTTCCACACCTTTGACATCGGTGTGCGCGAATATATTTTGGAAACATAGTTTCGCCAAAGCTGACACTTATTCTGTTTAAAAGCGCGTTGCGCCTTGGCATTTAACATTTTAAGTTTATTTAAATTATGGACAGTAGGATGTCGGCGGAAATATTTTTCAGCTTTCTTCCTACAGTTTTTGGTCTGTTTACATTCGTTATTGAACCATGGTTTACGAATATGTGGAACTGCAGAGGACTGAGGAATTGTTCTGTCTGCAATGCCTTTAAGGATATCAGAAAACGACTGAATAGGATCTTCACTGTTCCTAAAACGTTCATGAGTTAAGTGTTCAGCACACAGAGTCTCATATAATGACCAATCAGCCCTGCCGAAGTTCCTTCTTGATAAAGGTGGATCATCATCAGGGCTGATTGTTTTGAGAATGGTGGGGAAGTGATCACTCCCACACAGATCATCATGGACCATCCATTCGAATTCATTATACAAGGTTGAATCGGTGAGTGATAAATCCAGGGAAGAATATGTTCCCGTAGCTGGATGTAGATAAGTGGCTGAGTCGTCATTGAAAATACATAAATTGTTATCGGAAATGAATTCCTCAAGGATTTTACCTTTGGTATTAATATGAACATTTTCCCAAAGTGGGTTGTGTCCATTAAGATCGCCCATGATGAGACATGGCTTCGGAAGTTGATCAAATAGATTTTGAAGATCGGACTTTTGAATATTAGAAGAAGGAGGTATGTACAAGCTGCACAATGTCAGTGCAATGTGCAGGGTCAGACGAACAGCAACAACTTGAAGATCCGTATTTAGAGTGACAGGGCTATGAATGACGCTCTGATGTACCAAAATAGAAGCGCCTCCAGTAGCTTTATCGCCTGGAGGGAAAAAGAATGATAATCATTATACCGTCTTAAGTTAAAGTTATCAGTATTTTTAAGATAGGTCTCCTGGAGACACAATGCTGACGGTTGAAGATCTTGTATAAGTAATTGTATTTCATTGAAGTTATTCTTCAGTCCTCTGCAATTCCACTGAATTAGATTGGTCAAGTGATTCATGGTGGCTTAATTGGAGTGAGTCCACGTGAATGTGAGGAGGAACTATTCCCCGCCTGTCCTGTGAGGACAGAGTAACCTCCATATCTAGAGGTGCAAATGTATTCTGTGTTAAAACCTCATGAGATGAAGGGACAATAGGTTGTTTGTCTCTATTTAATCTCTTTCCTTTCTTCTGTTTTGAAGTTTCACTGACTGGTTTAGAAACAGACGTTTCAGCTTGATGCTCATTGTGATTTTCTGTTTGAGAAGCAGACGTAGAGTGTGTGACTTTCGGAATACTCTGAAGGGCTGAAGCAGAAGGAATAGGTTTAGGTGATGTAACCCATGTCAAGTCGGTCTGACAGGAAACGGAGGACGTTGCTACAGAGCGGGTGACTGCAGCAGAGTAGGTCAGATTTGATGGAGTCTGAGTTGATGGAGTCAACAGTTTCTTTGCCTCAAGGTATGAAATATTGTTTTGGCATTTGATTTTCAATATCTGTGATTCCCGTTGATACACGGGACAGGACCTTGATGAGGCAGAATGGGGACCATTACAGTTGGCGCACTTATATTCTTGCTCACAGTCAGAACCATCATGTCGATCACCACAACGATGGCAGACTGAGGAGTTGCGACAGGATTGCGAGCCATGCCCGAAATGTTGACATTTAAAACAACGGAGTGGACTTGGGACATACACATCCCACTCCGATGTTGAAATAACCAGCTTTGATAGACTTTGGTAGAGATGATCGGTCAAAGTCAGTAGATACGTGTTAGTTTTCACAATAATGCCTTCTTTCTTAATCGTGAAACGTTTCACTGCAGATACACCTTGATCTGCCAACTCTGAAGCAATGTCCTCCTCTGACATATCAGCGAGACAACGTGCTCTGTCTCGGATAATTCCACGACAAGAGTTTAGCGTCCTGTGCGCAGATACAGCAACCCCTATGTTTGCAAATGTCTTGATCGACAACAGATTGACAGATTGCTGCTTCCGTGCACACTCGACAAGAAGCGAGCCACTACGGAGACGGGTAACATTTGTAACTTCTCCACAAATTCCGGAGATGGCCTTTGAAATTGCAAAGGGATTAAGTTTAAGTGGAAGAAAGTCCGAAGCCTCAATAACAAGAAATCTAGCCCATGAGTCACTGTTAGAAGACACATGTCCAGTAGAGAGATCTAATTCCTCTAAGCGTCTCTTTTTTTCATTTCTAGTAGAACCAGATAGTGGAAGTGCCATGATGAAAGGAAAAATATTCAGCACCCCTGCTCCCCACCCACCACGGAGTGTCAACAAGGACAGTGTCAAATAGCACCGGATATCCAAGATGCCGACACCAGGGATACAGGGGTGTTATACTCCAGAGAAAACAACACAAATAGCTGCATTTGTCTACCAATTACATGCCCGACTGGTTCGGCCCAAGACAAGAAATTAGAGACATGCATCATTTGGCGGTCATTATCACCAGATTGGCCCATGAGCCACCGCCTTCTGGCATAGGACTCTAGGCAAATGTATATAATACTATAATTCGGAAATGCAACATTCGATATCAACATTATGTAAATGTACATTAACATAAATTTGAATGTTGTCCATGCACAGGGCATGGCGTGACCAGCCGATTGGTAGAACCGGGCCAGTTCTACCACCCGTCTAGGTGAAGTCAGGGCCGAAGTGGTGTGTTGGGCAAAGGAACACTGTTCCTGGAACCAGTGCCCTCAACCACCAGAATCCCTTCCTCCACCGACACAGGGGCGCAACCCACGGCAAACGGGTTGGTGGACCAAATATCCCCCGGGTCCACAACGGGGGTTGAAGGGCGCTTAGCGTGACCCAGCACCCACCACGAGGAGGTGGCCCTTCACGGGTGCCCCTTCGTGTGTCTTCAACAGATATTCTAACACTGATTGTACATTATGTTCCTTCGTGTGTCTTCAACAGATGTTCTAACAATGATTGTACGTTATGTTCCTTCGTTGTTCTAACACTGATTGTACGTTATGTTCCTTCGTGTGTCTTCAACAGATGTTCTAACACTGATTGTACGTTATGTTCCTTCGTGTGTCTTCAACAGATGTTCTAACACTGATTGTAAGTTATGTTCCTTCGTGTGTCTTCAACAGATGTTCTAACACTGATTGTACATTATGTTCCTTCGTGTGTCTTCAACAGATGTTCTAACACTGATTGTACGTTATGTTCCTTCGTGTGTCTTCAACAGATGTTCTAACACTGATTGTACGTTATGTTCCTTCGTGTGTCTTCAACAGATGTTCTAACACTGATTGTACGTTATGTTCCTTCGTGTGTCTTCAACAGATGTTCTAACAATGATTGTACATTATGTTCCTTCGTGTGTCTCTTCAACAGATGTTCTAACACTGATTGTACGTTATGTTCCTTCGTGTGTCTTCAACAGATGTTCTAACAATGATTGTACGTTATGTTCCTTCGTGTGTCTTCAACAGATGTTCTAACACTGATTGTACGTTATGTTCCTTCGTGTGTCTTCAACAGATGTTCTAACACTGATTGTACGTTATGTTCCTTCGTGTGTCTTCAACAGATGTTCTAACACTGATTGTACGTTATGTTCCTTCGTGTGTCTTCAACAGATGTTCTAACAATGATTTGTACATTATGTTCCTTCGTTGTTCTAACACTGATTTGTACGTTATGTTCCTTCTTCTGATTGTACGTTATGTTCCTTTCGTGTGTCTTCAACAGATGTTCTAACACTGATTGTACGTTATGTTCCTTCGTGTGTCTTCAACAGATGTTCTAACACTGATTGTACGTTATGTTCCTTCGTGTGTCTTCAACAGATGTTCTAACACTGATTGTACATTATGTTCCTTCATGTGTCTTCAACAGATGTTCTAACACTGATTGTACATTATGTTCCTTCATGTGTCTTCAACAGATGTTCTAACAATGATTTTACATTATGTTCCTTCGTTGTTCTAACACTGATTGTACGTTATGTTCCTTCGTGTGTCTTCAATATATGTTCTAACACTGATTGTACATTATGTTCCTTCGTGTGTCTTCAACAGATGTTCTAACAATGATTCTACGTTATGTTCCTTCGTTGTCTTCTAACAGATGTTTTAACACTGATTTTACATTATGTTCCTTCGTGTGTCTTCAACAGATGTTCTAACACTGATTGTACATTATGTTCCTTCGTGTGTCTTCAACAGATGTTCTAACAATGATTGTACGTTATGTTCCTTCGTGTGTCTTCAACAGATGTTCTAACACTGATTGTACATTATGTTCCTTCGTTGTTCTAACACTGATTGTACGTTATGTTCCTTCGTGTGTCTTCAACAGATGTTCTAACACTGATTGTACATTATGTTCCTTCGTTGTTCTTCACTGTACTGATTATGATGTTCTAACAGTGATTGTACGTTATGTTCCTTCGTGTGTCTTCAACAGATGTTCTAACACTGATTGTACATTATGTTCCTTCATGTGTCTTCAACAGATGTTCTAACACTGATTGTACATTATGTTCCTTCATGTGTCTTCAACAGATGTTCTAACACTGACTGTACATTCCTCATTTTTGTTAATGTTAGTGAGCAGACTTGTGTCAAGACTAAAATACAATACACTGTAAATCTATACTATACACTATAAATCACGAAATGTTTGAAAGTATGATATTTTGGCGAAAATTGCGAATGATTAGCGGCAACCTTTAACATGTGATTGGATTTACTTTAGGTAGCTCGCCCACCGTGGGGGCATGGCTAAGGCGCCAGGCTAGTGATCCAGCGAGCTTGAGGTGACGGGATCGAGCCCACCTGTGACCGGGTGTAAAATGTTTGGAGTCAACTTTGTGTGTAGACTCTTTCAGTGTTGTCACAACCCCTAGTGTACAGTACACAAACCTGTGCACTTAAAAGATCCCACGATTCCGCTGGTAAATGACCAGATGGTGGCCACATGAATACGCGTAAACACCTAGTTGCGGGTACATCAACGTGCAGTGAACTCGGACAAAGTACTGTGACCATGTGCCCCAGTCCACCCAGCTGTGAATGGGTACCTCGTAAGGATGAGAAAGCCACACTCACTCGGTGTGCCTAGGGGCTGCAAGAGTTGTATGATCCCCAGGGAGTTGAGATTGATAATACGACGTGCCATTGAGATTGACATCCAGTGATCGAGGGAAAAACAAAGCGCCTTTGAGCAGCTGAGCTGGACATCGGCGCTATACCAATTATTAGCATAATAATTTTAGTTGCGATATATTTTTCAGAATTTTCAAGTTACAAAAATACCATGACACAAAAACGTCTGTTGGTCGCCACTCGTAAAAATATCGTCACGCAAAACTTTCATGATTTACAGTAACCATTATTAAAGGTGTCCTCCTCTCTAACATGGGAAGTTGTATTTCAAGGCTGAAAGTTTCTAGATATGTTTGGGACTTGTGGTTATTGTCACACTTTTGGGGGTAAAGCAGCGAGTTGTTTAACTATTCAGGTGCATGGAATTTGGAGCCTTTGCACCAGCGCCATGCGTCTGTCTGATAATGACTTTCTATCTATCTCGGGCACAGAGGATTGGTAAACTACAATTTTATGTTCATCTCTCAGTAAATGTTCCAGTATGAAACCGTATTTTTGTCATTTACGTCATAATCTTTATTGAACTCTGTTAGGGACATTTGTGGACTTGTTGTTTCAGATGTTCGTTTCAAAATCAACAAGTTTATATGCAACACGGATGTATGGATCTGTTCTGCTGTACCTGTTGGTGGTGGTGTCCTATAGTATGTTACTTAAACGTTTTCATTGGAATGCCCTTCTATCAATGTAGTACTATGTCAAATTTATTTCACATTTCCTGTTTAAATACTGTCCAAATATGTCCACGTAGAACAGGAATGATGCTTGTTAAACAATGTCTAACTATGTCCACACAGAACAGGAATGATGCTTGTTAAACAATGTCTAACTATGTCCACACAGAACAGGAATGATGCTTGTTAAACAATGTCTAACTATGTCCACACAGAACAGGAATGATGCTTGTTAAACAATGTCTAATGCTTGTTATGTCCAACTATGTCCACAGAACAGGAATGATGCTTGTTAAACAATGTCTCACTATGTCCACACAGAACAGGTATGATGCTTGTTAAACTATGTCCACAGAACAGGAATGAGAACAGGAATGATGCTTGCTTGTTAAACAATGTCTCACTATGTCCACACAGAACAGGAATGATGCTTGTTAAACAATGTCTAACTATGTCCACACAGAACAGGAATGATGCTTGGAACATTACTATTCATACACTGTCTAACAGTCTCACTATGTCCACACCAGAAAAGGAAAGATGCTTGAAACAATGTCTCACTATGTCCACACAGAACAGGAAGATGGTTCTAACTGGTCCTCACAGAGGGGGACATTACTATTCATACACTATCTAACAGTCTCGATGTTTCACTGGTTCGAGGGGGAATGGGTTACCCTCGATGTTTGTTTATGAAGCTCTCAGGGAACTTAAAGAAACATCGAGGATACATCAACCCATGGGCTCTGAGGGACCAGTGAACAACGTATTTATCTTACCGAACACCTCAATGGTAATTTTGAACTGTTTGAAGTTTGAAAAACAAACTTAGAGTTATCTCCATTCATTCGATTTGCATTCGCAAAACATCGGTAATTTCCGTACATCATACGTGATTTAATGTTATTCGAGATAAAGAACTACTACTAAGAAGTACTAACCGAGTTCGGCATTCCCAGCGAGGTACATAGAAAATGTTACTCGCTTGTAAGCGGGGTACATTGAAAATAATAGAAGAGCGCTCAGACAATCAGAAAACAACATTTATGTGTGAGACAAGATAATGTCATTTGACTGATAATCTCTGTACTGACAGACTCAGTATCGGACCATGCCTACACGGAAAACACACACTGCTATTTACATAGAATCTGCAAGGTCTGTACAAAAATAGGAAATGAAACAGAATTACTTTCCCGATGTCAGACCACTGACCACAGAATCACTGCTACATCGAGGTAATTGGAGTACAATCCCCAATAGCTGGGGGTGTAAATCCAGCTAGGGTCCACACAGGAATCAAATGTACTGCCTACATGGTCCCTAGCATGGTAATCTACCTTCTGTCGCGAGCGATTTATAGCTCGTTTTAACAGAGTATTGTTCTCTTTAATAATATCGTTTATGATAACATACTGGTTTAAGCTGATATCTCTGATATAATAGTAGATTAATGTTTATCGTCAACAGGTTTTTGATTTCTAATTATATTGTTCTTTAACATGATGATTAATTGTTCAGAATAACTTCTCAAGTGTCCAAACATATGTTCATTGTATAGAATCTCTCCTCCAATGCCTGACATGTCTACTTGTAGTATTACATCGTTTTGTTTCAGATTCTGGAGAATTGCTGTGTCCCGAGATCGCAGAACTTGGCTCCACTGTCACTCTCAGCTGTATAAAAGGAATCGCCACAAGAGCCCATTCCTACTCAACTCCTATTGGAACTACCGCTGCAACTTGTGATTTGTCAAAAGGATACTGCATAAATCTTGGTGACTTTACAGCATCTGCCCTGAACGAGTCCTCTAGTTTCCTCACTATACCGCGCCTACTGGAGATACACGCTGGTGACTGGGCATGTGTTGTAGATGCAGATGACCCAAACCCCGATACGTGTAATGTAACTGTGCAAAGTAAGTACACTAAGTTCTTTCAAGGTTAGGGATTTAGGATAGCCTGGAGGTTACAGCATTCGCTCATCACGCTGGAGACAAGGAGTCGACTCCTCACATGGGTACAATGTGAGAAGCCCCTTTATGTTGTCCCCCCGCCGTGATATTGCTGGAATATTGTAACAAGCGGCGTAAAACTATACTCACTCATTTTAGGATATTTACGAACAATTATCAAAGTCAATATAGAGCGTCTCTGTCCTCACTTTAAGTCTCATTAACTGAGTGCTGCCAAGTTTGATGTGTTAATGATTACCTGTGCCACGTTATCGTATTGAAATTGTTGTGTACTTCTTGTTTGCATAATATAACGATATACATAGCACCAAATTGTAAAATTATAAAGTAATAAAGTTCCTAATGAAATGTAGATTCTTCCCAAACCCTTAGTTGAGGCGATTGATATAAAATATTTGAAATGAAATTATTTTTTGGGAAGTACAAAGCAATTATTCCCTGGGCAGTAAAAAATATCTAACAAAGTTAACATGAACATACACAACAGCTGACAAAGCGATGACATTTACCTTATTCCCAATTCCTTACTAAGTTTGGATTGTCATACTCGTGATATCATACCCGTGAAGATCCGGGTCATAATTGATCTTCAGTAACCCATGCTTGTCGTCAGAGGCGACTAACAGGATCCGGTGGTCAGGCTCACTGACTTGGTTGACACATGCCATCGTATCCCAAATGCTAGGATCTATGTTTAAGATGTTGATCACTGGATTGCCTGGGCCCCGTTTCACAAAGCTCTTGTAAGCCTAAGCCATACTGTAACATAGGAAGTTCGAATGCTACGAGGAAAGTTACGAGATCTTAGGCTCACGAGAGCTTTGTGAAACGGGACCCTGGTCCAGATTTGATTATAAACAGAGAGATTCCTTATAGCTGGAATATTGCTGAGTACGGAGTTAAACAACAAACAAACGAACAAGCTTCAATGACATCAACGTGTATCCATTATTTCAGAGAGTCCATCATGTCGAATAACAAGCACACAGAACACCAGAGCACTCATTGCTGCTGAAGAACTTTCACTGACAGTCTACGTGAGAAGCTTCTACTGCTCTGAGTCAGTTATCATTGGAGTGAAGACGGGGAATATCACAAGTCATTCTATCAAGGAAACTGTTACCAAGGTGACGGACAGCACTGAAAACGTAACATTTAACATGACGGCATCCCACTTTGGAAACGTGACCCTTGTGTTTTCCTGTGGCACCAAGAACCAGCACGTGCTTTGTGAGGGCATACAGTCTCTGGTTGAAAGTAAGAATCAATACTGCACACCCAGGAAATGTTACACATAGCGAGCACCTCTCTGTTGGCAACTGTCAACTGCTACTAGCACTTACAAAGATCGCTGTTACACCCAAGAGACAGTTATTGTTACAAGCCCTGTAAGACTCGCGAGGCGCTACTTCCCGCTACTAAGCTGGTTCCTGTCTTGCGATATGCGAGACGGAACCCAACTTACTTCCGGTACCTGTATCCGGTGACAAGCGTATATTCAAGCACCAATTTCCATGTGTGGAGCAGCCTCAAGTATATTTCGAGCCTTTGTAAGTGCAAGTATCAGTTCACAATCCTAGAAGAAGGTAAAATTTGCGACATCACGTGACTGATAACTGTAGGATGAAAATCCTTTTTTTCACAACAGATACCGATGTTCTGATTTCAGAGTTTAACAGATAATAACTGTGTCAACTATTTTAGCATTTTGTAATTTCAGCATGAAGGTTTTTTGTTTTAAACATATTTTATTCATGACAAAAGGATTGGGTAGAAGTTATACAACTTAGAACACCCTCTCCTTAGTATTTAAAAGTAATGTAAGTCCCCATGGTTCCTAGTATGGTGATCTACCTTCAGTTGTTGGCGATCAATAGCCTGTTTTTTATATTGTATCGTCTTGTATAGTTCAAATGTTTTAGATTTTGTTACTAGTTTTATATCTCTATCTGTGATTATCTAGTATTTTTACTGTCCTTCGTCGGCAGTTTTTTATAATATCTGTATATATATTCTATTTAAATGTCAAATGTTCTCGTCACGATATGGCTGAAATATTGCCGATGTGACGTTAAATATTAACTCACTCACTCACTCACCTTAGTACTTACATAGTATTATTTACATTCATTCTACAAGATGGACAGAGAAGAACAGAAAGATGGGAAAGAGAGGAACAATTGCAACAATTAAGAAAATCGTTTTGATTGACAAATATATGTTTGAAAAATTTAAATATGTTTTGATTTATGTGAACAGTCAGATCTGCATTGCCATGTAATAGTAACTCATAGGTTATATTCACATTGGTAACACTGCGTAAATTAGTCATCATGGTAGTTCTCTGTACCGTATTTAATTGACAGTCAAATAGGTAATGATAAGAATTTTCACAAACATTTCCACAAGAACAACTTGGGTTATCTCTTATACCAGCACGCAATAGATCATAATTCAATTGACTACACGTGTAACGTAGTTTTGTAAGGATGGTGTTAGTGATTCTCGGTCGCAAAATCAAAGTATTGAGGAGCAGTTTTATGTTTAATAACAATGTTAGATTTAAAAGAATTCAATGACACGCTCTTCTCACTTCAACCGGAAGTTCATTCCACATTCTAATTGTGGATGGAAAATACGAATCATACGAAAATTTTAATCGTGAGAAAGGAAGTGAGACATCATCAGAGTTGCGAAGATTATAGTTACATTTAGATGCTACGTTCCCAGGAACAAGATCAGTAAGGTACGATGCTGCCATATTATTCTGTATTTTGTAAAAACGACGAAGTTTGCGCTTTCTCCTACGTTCTGCTAAAGATTCCCAACCAGTTTCATAATACAGATATTCATGATGAGTATATTTAGGTAAACCTGTTACAATTCTTGCTGCTTCTAATTACAGTTGTTCTAATTTATTTGCTTGATATTGAGCAAATCCATCCCATACTTCACACGCATATTCGAAATGGGGTCTTATGAACATGACGTAAATTCTATTCAATACAGAGCGCATGAAGGTTTCTTTCTAGTTCAAACGTAATGCTTTTCAAAGCGGTATAGTAAATCGTTTCTTTGCAGTTTAATGAGTATAGCAAAGACCAACGTATTGCTCTAATCTGATAAAAGACAGCACGTTGTGTAATCGGGGCGGTGGGGTAGCGTGTAGGTTAAAGCGTTTGCTTGTCATGCCGAGGACTCGGGTTCGATTCCCCACAAGGGTACAATGTGTGAAGCCCATTTCTGGTGTCCCAGTCTTGATATTGCTGGACTATTACTAAGCGTATAATGTTAAACTCACTTTAGGGTATTTATATACTATTCACACTTTGCTAAGGATCAAATCATGGATTCAACAAACAACTATGAATCGGGGTCAAATTTGGTTTAAATATCTTGGCCTGTTGTAAGCATGGATCCTAGGTTTCAGTATGTCATTTCGTCTTATGCAACTAATACCTGCTATTGACAGGTGTTGTGTACTTGTCAAATGACTCGTTCCATGATTTGCATGGAAGTGCTTAAGGTTAAATTAAAGTGGCTGTTTGCCTAAAGAGGGGTTACCATATTATTATTTATCCAGTTTTAAATGATTACAATTTCAAATTTTAAATCTACGTTTAAGTACATTTTGTGATCCTTAGCAAAGTGTGAGTAGTATATTTTCGAACAATTATCAAAGTCAATATGCAACGTCTCCGTCTTTATAAGCAGCGTTAAACTAAACACACTCGCTGAGTGTGCAATTCATTGACTTAACATTGTCAGCTTCACTTGTTATAGTCACATAATGTTTTGTATTGTGTATCTAGTCAGGCTTCTGTCAGGTGAAGCTGTCATCACAATGATCTGTATTCTTCTTGCAGGTGTTCCTACGGTACCAACGACCCAAACTGCCGTCACAAACACATCCACAACGCAGCGAGGATCAACGGGTGGTGATCAGAACACAGCTGTCATCATTTCAGTTTCCGTTGTCATAACAATCGCAATCTTCACAATCATCTTGGTCGTTTTGTGGAGGAGGAGGAGGCAAATCAGCCCGGCGTCTCATCGTTCAAAGAAGTATGTTAACGTCCACTACGTGTCTAATGCAGAAGCAGGTTGTCAGGTGGATAAAGATAGGAAGGCCAAGAACGAGACGGACCTTCAGGTGGGCAAGAAAGAAGGGAGGGCTACGCACGAGACAGACATTCAGGTTGGCAAAGAAGATGGGATGGTCAAGCACGAGACGGACCTTCAGGTAGGCAAAGAAGATGGGAGGGCCAAGCACGAGACAGACCTTCAGGTAGGCAAGGACGATGGGAGGGCCAAGCACGAGACAGACCTTCAGGTAGGCAAGGAAGATGGGAAGGCCAAGCACGAGGCAGACATTCAGATGGGCAAAGAAGATGGGAAGGGCAAACACGAGGCAGGCCTGCAGGTGGACAAGGACAGGCCTTCAGGTGGGCAAAGATGCTGAGAGTCACGCCGAAGAAGCACCAGCAAGACCTGGAACTGATCGGAATGCCGGAACACATGATCAAAACTGTCTGACACAAAACATGTTTAGAAAGACCACATGCTCCACATATAGGAATGTGTTTTATTGATATGCGTGTGGACATGCAGCACAATGTATTCGAAGATTACACAACGATTTATAATGGGTGCCTCCTCTGATGAGGTTCAACCTTATGGTTTGTAATAACTGATTCAACTGTTATTGTCAGTTTCAGTGTTACATAGGATTGCCTTCTGTATTTCTGTTCCTTGGCCGTCTTCAAAAACAGAATCAGTTTGGTGTAAAGGGCAAAACAGCTGTAAAATCACCACAATGAACCGTTGAACATCATTGATGGCACGAGATGTTCGCAAGTATTCGTGCATGACTGTGATATCTGTAAATACAGCATTCTTGCACTATTGCCACGAGTTGCGATATGTGCGTTGGGCCTTACTGTAAATATTGTTTTTTCAACAGATTTGTAAAACGATTTGCTATGACAAACACTACTTAAGAAAGGCTTGTATTTGTTTGAAATTTGTTATCGATTTTGAATTATCAATCTTGAGAGTTGAATTACATTTGGATTCACATGGCAATATCGTACATTCATTGAGGTTATCGAACATATATTAATTATTCGGAGTCCTTCATAATCATTAGACTATGACAGTGTCCTGTTAATCGCTATGTTGAGTTGGTATATGTATTTAGTCTGTGATGGTAGCAGGGTCATCGTGACTGCAGCTGATTATGTGTCATATTCATGTGACCACGTACACATAATTCATTTGTAAATTCCAACACTTTCATCTATGAATATCACATCCACTGATATCTCGTGACGCGGAAGTCTCTATTATAAAGCAGGAAACACATGTGCTGTGCTTCGGCTTTGACTTTGATTTTGAGGAAGTAGTGTACAAAAGGTTCAAATATGTTCACATGACATTATATAACACATTGCTGAGGACGGAAGAAAGGTTTCTGCCTTTGTTCGTCTTGTAATGAGTTGGCTTCGTGTATGTTGAAGTAATGTAATTGTTGTTTAAGCACGGTTTGGAAGCGTATCAGTGTCACCGTCTAAAACAGTTATCATTCACGTAGATGATACTTTGATCTACTTCACAGATGCGTGCATTCCCATGAATGATATAGTAAATCAGTTCAGCACATCATCTCCATGGATTAAGGTATCATCTCCGTAGATGTAGGTGTGATCTGCAAAGATGTAGGTATGCTCTCTTTAGATGAAGGCGGACAATGCCGGACATAGCTCAATGTTAAAGAAATGTCCATTATATTGTATGAGGTAAGACCATGCGGCCTGGAGATATAGGTGGCGAGTGTTCGCGGAAATGAAAGTACATCTCCGTACATGAGTGTGTGATCTGTAGAAGTGAAAGTAACGTCTCTGTAGATGAGGGTATGATCTGTAGAAGTGAAAGTAACATCTCTGTAGATGTAGGTATGATCTGCAGACGTGAAAGTAACATCTCTGTAGATGTAGGTATGATCTGCAGACGTGAAAGTAACAGCTCTGTAGATGGAGGTATGATCTGCAGAGTTGAAAGTATCTCTGTAGATGTAGGTATTCTCTGCTGGTAATATTCTAGCCAATACCTGACTGTAAATAACCTGTATATATTTGGGGGAATGTTCCCATATTCTATGTATGTACATGTAAATATGTGTATGTTTGTTGAGTATTCTGTTAATTATAAAATTATATAACCATGATGTTTCGAGAATCTTCGGACCTATGTGGAGGACATAAAGACAATCATTCATTCATTCATTCATTCATCTCTACAAAGGTCTCCTGAGTGAGTGAGTGAGTGAGTGGGTGAGCTTTAATTATAACACTATTCCAGCATTAGCACGGAGGGTGACACCAGAACTAGATTTCACATACTGTACCCATGTGAGGAATAGAACCCAGGTATAAGGCGTGACGAGCTAAGGCTTTTACCACTAAGTTACCCTATTGCACCTTCAATATATAATGGATGCACATCTTTGTCTAATGTGTTTTGCAAAATAGGTGAAAGTCTAATGGGCTTTGTCATGTTGAGAGTTGGAGACAGCAAAACAACAGACAGACAGACAGACAGACATTTTATTCAGTAATATGCCGCTGGCCCCAAATACATTCATAAATATGATAAGAAGTTACATGCGTTTTACCAGGGAGACTATATAACGTTGTAGATTATCCCGGGTTTTACAAAAAAACATCAGAATCTCTCATTTTCCCAACATTATATAAAAATAGGCATAAATTATTTAAACCATTTATGTCTGTTGAAGTCATTATGTTTATAAAACTGTGTTGTGAAATAGGATGTTTCAAATATTTACCCAGAAACTTATTCCTTATATCTAAGTAGGCTTTACAATAAAGTAAAACATGTATTTCATCTTCAATTAAATTAAGATTATTTTTGTAGCAAAAAAGGACAGAATCTTGAATAATAAGGGACATTGTTATATCTACCGGTCTCAGAACTAAGTTTAAATTTACCGCATCTAAATTTTGTTAAACAATTTCTTAAATATGGGGCAATACCTAAACTTAAATAAGTTTCAACATTCAGGAGGGACTTGAAAAGTATATAATTAGAACACTTGGTTGTACTATGTAGGGATGAGTACCAATCTTGTGAAAGATTATCAGACAGTCTTTGCTTAAAAACAGAAATGAAACCATCAATATAATATAATAATAATAATAGTTCATTTATAAAGCGCATATTTCCATGCACAATGCATGCTCAAAGCACTGATGTCAGGACGAAAAGGCTTTTTGGAAAAGGTGGGTCTTTAGCGATGTTCGAAATGTTGAAAGTTCTGTCATTTCTCTCAAATGTCGTGGGAGATGATTCCATTCTGAGGCTGCAGCATCAGAGAAAGTTCTTTGACCAAATTTAACTGTTCTGACTTTAGGAATACACAGAAGATTATGTTTCTCCTAGCGGAGGGATCTTGTTGGTTTGTATGGAGAAAGGAGGTCGGACAGATATTGAGGTGCACTTCCAGAGAGACATCTGAAGGCGAGAATGCAGAGTTTAAAAGTGATGCGCTGTGGAATGGGCAACCAGTGGAGGTCCTTCAACACAGGGGTGATGTGAGCTGACTTGGGTGAGAGAGTGACTATTCTAGCTGCTGTGTTCTGAACCCGTTGGAGTCTACCAATCTGGGATTTTGTTGCACCAGCAAAGAGGCTGTTGCAGTAATCTAGTCTTGTCATCACCAATGAGAGGACACGGATTATAACTGACTCCTTTGTGAGAAGCTTTCGAATGCTTCCAATGTTTCGGAGGAGTAGGAAGCATGTCCTGCACAAGATGGTAATGTGCTGGTCCAATGACAGCTCAGGATCAACAGTCACGCCAAGGTCCTCAACACTGTTAGATAGTGGAACAGTGGTTTCGCCAAAGTGAAACGACTTGATGTTGGTCTGTTCTCGGCGAGGTGCTGTCCTTACCAGAAGACACTCTGTCTTGTCCTCATTTAGCTTCAGCTTGTTGGTGAACATATCTCCAATATCCTGTGAAATCCAAACAAAGCCAAACCAATTTCTAAATACAATATTCTTGATATGAGATGCCCATGTCGTCCGTCCAGATTCATCCAAAGACTTAAGCATTAAATATAACTGATGAGGTAATCTACAACTTGGAAGAGTTAAAAGTCTACACCAATATTTAACTGCCCTTGACATATAAGTAAGTTGAAGAGTGAATCTGCCACATTCACGAAGAACCATATTGTTGCATGTATATTTACCAACTTTTAAGAAATATTTACGTCTTTATCTGGATTTGTTCAATGATTTTACAATGGGTAACACCCCAAATTTCTGAACCGTAACAAAGAATAGGTTTAACCATAGCATCAAATACTTTTAAAAAATCCGCACATGACAGATAACCTACTCTTTTTTTATATCTAAAGATAGCCATAAGGGCTGTATTGGCTTGAGACGCAAGAGTAGTGTGAGCTTTAGTCCAAACTAGCCTAGGAGTGAACACAATACCCAAGTACCTGTAGTATGAGACAACTTCCAGACTATGCCCATTAAGAAACCACTTTTCATACTGTCTAAGGGGCCCGCTATTCCTGAAAACAATAACTTCAGTCTTATTAACATTGACCTTCATACCGGTGAGTTGACAAAAATTTCCAACACCATGAATCTTCTTCTGGAGCTGGAAAGCAGTATCCGAGACTGAGGAAATATCATCCGCAAACATTAGAGCATATAGATTATTAACATCAGGTGTAATAAATATACCACCGCCACCAAATTGCTCGATACTTTCCATAAGCTGATTAATAAAGATAATAAACGATTGGGGACTGAGGATGCAACCCTGCCTAGTACCTATACTACAATCAAAATAACTTGAAAGACCTTGAGATGTTCTGACACAAGCTGACAACCTACCATATATTGATACAAGGATGTTATAGAATTTACCACCAACACCAACTTTTTTTAGATTTGACAGAAGAATTTTATGATTAACTGTATCAAGGGCCTTTGTGAAATCTATAAACAGACAACAGAACCTTCCTTTCTTCTTACATGAATATTTCTGTACCATAGCTTGAAGTGAGAAAATGTGGTCAGTAGCAGAATAATTACTCCTGAATCCTACCTGAGCTTCATGAATAATATTCTTCCCCTCACACCAAACCTGTAACCTACTGTTGAGAATGGAAGTGAATATTTTACACACAGAAACAATTAGAGATACCTCTATAATTATTGGGGTTACTTTTTACACCAGATTTGTAAAAAGGACAGATAATGCTTTCACCCCAAAGCACCGGAAAATGCTGTCTTGGAAAATCTTGTTAAAATACACTGTAAAATAATTGCTGATAAAAGTCTTAGAAGCTTTAATAAAGTCAATTGCAATACCATCTGGTCCAGGAGACTTTTTTTGCCAGTTTATCAATGTGAAGTA